TGCTGGTTACAGTGCTCCAGGAACTGGAAAGCCCGGGGGAAACCAAAGAGGGAAGCACCCGGCACACTGAGCCTGCTGGCTCGCTGGCTGCTCAGCACCACGCCCGCACAGGCAGAAGCGGGACGATCCCAGGAGGTTTTCGCAAAGTTCACTTAGGCAGACTCAGCCCGCTGACTCCTCGGAACGTCTGATCACAACCCCTTACTGAAAGCCCCTCAGGAGTGGAGGGGGGTCCAGACCATCACACCTGCCTGGCAGGTAAGCTGGAAAAGAATCCGGCTCGAACCACGCAAGCCTTTCAGAGACAACAGCCACACGCAGCCCCTGAGCCGCAGGACGCACCCAGGGCAGCAGCCGCTTCAGCACTCCAGCCCTGCCCAGCACAAGGAGCAGCGCATCTTCCCAGGTGGAGGCAAACACTTCTTAAAGAAGGCATTAAGGTCAGGGAAGAGGACTGGAGGCATTCACATATCAACAAAGAGTGGGAGTTGACTTGAGATTCTGCCAGTGATCCTGCACCTCTCCGTTACCTAAACCTGGACCAGGAAGTTCCCGCCTGCGCATCTCCACACTGACAGGACTGCCCCGGGCCAAGGCTGCACAGTCCTCACTTTAACTGTCCTACAGATGTGATCAGCTGTGCTCCTAAAGGGAGATCACCACCAACACCCAGACTCCTGTGTTCTGCAATTTCGCATGACAGGCTTTGTCACCAGTCCCAGCATTTGCCAGCTGATGCTGCACCAAACCCAACCAGCCAGCACTGGCTGCACCCGTGGCATGCACAAGCACGCACCAGTGGGCACAGCTCTCTCGCGGTTCACATGTAAACCAGCAGGTGCTGCGGCCTTGCCTGGCCTGGTCTGCCCCCAGGCCCCAGCTCTCATGCCCTAAAGTGGGCGCAATGGCCCAGCAGGAGAACCCCTCACAGCCTCCCCCTCACAGGAGAACACCCCACACTGGGCTCACATCCACCCACCTCACCTCGGCATTTGCAGGCAGGTGCTGTAGCCTGCCTGGCCTGGCCAGCCTGCCCCCAGTTCCAGCTCATGCTGGTGGGTGTTCCCCCAGTTCCAGCTCATGCTGGTGGGTGTTCCCCCAGTTCCAGCTCATGCTGGTGGGTGCTGCCACCTAGTACGGCCCAGCCAGGCCCTCATCTCGGCTCTAATGTGGACTGGCTTGTGTCACAGTCCAACTAGACCTGTCTGCACCCTATCCTGGTCCTCGGATATGCCAGTGGGTGTTATGAACTGGTCCAGCCTGGCTTGATTACGGACCTGACCCACACGTATGCTGGTGGGTATTGTAACCCAACATATTCTAGGCTGCACCCAGCCTTGGTTCTCACGCTCACCTGCAGAGAGAGACCCCATCCTGACAAAGGAGTTCCCCAAGCTCCTCCATCAGGCTTCCTCCCAGCAGCAGATCTCACACATGCTGGCAAGTCCTTGGCCCAGACTCAGTCGACTTCCTGTCCTGATACGAACAGTGGCCTTGCCCAATTGGCCCACACCCATTCCAGTTCTTACTACTGGGTGTTACAGTCCAGCCACACCTAGCCCACACACAGACCCAGTTCTCACGTGGTTCAGCGGGTGCCAAGAACTAGCTCAGCTTGTCCTACACTGACCCCGGCTCATGAGCACCAGTGGGTGCTCGAGTCTAGCCCAGTGTGATGCACCCCAGACCCACACCAACGGGTACTGCTGTCAAGTCCAGTCCAGAACACAGCTCCCATTCTGGCTCTCAAGCTCACAAATGGGAACCCCAACCCAGCCAAGATGTCCCCTTAGCTCCCAAATCAGGCCTATTCCCAGCTATAGATCTTGGGCGTCCCAGTGGGTGCTCTGACCCAGCTCAGCATACTCCATCCCGTCTCGGCCTTAGGATTGGATGTCACAGCCTGACCCGGTCCACCCACAGTCCCAACTCTCACTGGCGGGTGCCAAGAACTAGCTTGTCTGATCTGCTCTCGTTCCTGGCTCACGCAAACTGCTAAGTGCGACAGCCTAGCCCGGCATGATCCGCACTCCAGCCTGGCCCTCTCCATAAACAACCCACACACTTGTCAATCACTAGAGCTACCTAGCCCAGCCTAACACCCAACCATGATTCACATGCTCACCAGCAGGAGTCATGCCCACCAGGGGAGTTCTCCAAGTTTCCCAACCAGGCCCACTCCCAGAGCCAGATCTCACATGTGCCAGCAGGTACTAGGACCTACCAGCACAGTCTGCCTCCTCCATCCCAGCCTTTATATGAGCTGGTGGATGCTGCAACCAAGCCTACTCCACACCTCATTCTTGGGTTCACCTGCGGGTGCTGCAGCCTGGACTTACCCAGACTGTTCCCATTAGTGTCAGAAGGTTCCATGGTCACGCGTAGCTCAGCCTGTCACTACCCCCAGCCCTTTTAAAAATTTTTTTTAAAAAATTCTATTTATTTTTATTAGGAAGGCAGATATGCAGAAAGGAGGAAAGACGGAGAGGAAGATCTTCTGTCTGTTGATTCACTCTCCAAGTGGCTATAACAGCCAGAGCTGAACTGATCTGAAGCAAGGAACCAGGAACCTCTTCTGAGTCTCCCATGTGAGTGCAGGATCCCAAGACTTTCGGCCATTCTCCATTGCTTTCCCAGGCCACAAGCAGGGAGCTGGATGGGAAGCAGGGCCGCTGGGATTAGAACTGGCACCCATACGAGATCCCAGGGCATGCAAGATGAGGACTTTAGCCACTAGATTACTGTATCGGGCCCTACCCCAGCTCTTAAACAAACCAGTGGGAATTACAGTTCCATAGGGTTGGCCCCATATATCCCCCACAGAATCTGTCTCCGGACCTGGTTCTCTCCTGTGCTGGTCAGTGTCACGGCCCAGCCTAATACCGCCCATCCCCTGTTCTGGCTGTCAGGTGCTGTGATCCAGCCCTGGCATGCAGCTTTAGTGTGCACTGGTGGGTAGTGGTCAACTGCAATCCATGCTAACTAGCCCAGCTGGACTCTCCCACAGGTGAGTGAGGGCGCTGGTACATCTGTGCATAACTGTGCTGCAGCTCCGCCCTCCCGGGTCCCAGCGCCCTCACTCACCTGCAAGTTCAGATGCCTTGTCAGTGCAGTCCCCACGAGCCATTCATCACCTGCAGCCTATTCTCTCAGCAGTCTTCCCCGCCACATTTCTCCTAATCCCCATCCATGGACCACGCCAGCAGGGAAATCCCCAGGCTCACGCTGCCTGCCGGGATGAGGTCCCACATCTCCCCAAGTGCCCCCCCACGCAGCAGCATCTCCCAGGCCCCCACAAGCCGGCACCCCCAGACTCCCAGAAGCGTGGGGCCAGGCGCACATCCCACAGGCAGCCAAGCTCACGGTGGCTGCTCGCTGTTTTCATCTTGCTCTTTGTGCAGTGTACAGTCACTGCTGTGTAAACACACGTCATTACCCACTTTTGTACAGTCTCTGCTTTGGGGTCCAACTCACACCAGGAAGACCGTTCTGGCACAGCCAGCTGACACCCTTGCTCATGGATTTCTCTGGAGCGTGTACCAACAAGTGTGATTGCTGCGTCACTGAGTAACTGCACAGTTAACTTCGCTAGGTAAAGCTGTTGCAGCCATTTGAGTGAACCGACAGTTGAAAGATTTCAACTGCAACTCCGCCTTTTCAATAAACAAAGCTTTAAAAGTAAATACAGTATATTATAATGTATATTTTGTTTTCCTAATATTAATACTGCATTATCACTTTGTGTTGTATATATTTATAATTCTAAATTATACCAATTTATAATTTATACAGTATATAATAGTAATAAATACAGTATATATCTGGCATTTACACCATCCTGCCTTTGGTCAGTATCTGCAGTTTTCTTTTTTAAAGATTTATTTTGGGCCCGGCGCGGTGGCGCAAGTGGTTAAAGGTCCTCGCCTAGCACGCCTGGGATCCCATATGGGCACCGGTTCTAATCCCGGCAGCCCCGCTTCCCTTCCAGCTCCCTGCCTGTGGCCTGGGGAAGCAGTCGAGGACGGCCCAAAGCTTTGGGACCCTGCACCCTGTGGGAGACCCGGAAGAGGCTCCTGGCTTCGGATCGGCATAGTATCGGCCCGTTGCGCTCACTTGGGGAGTGAATCATCGGACGGAAGATCTTCCTCTCTGCCTTGCCTTCTCTCTGTATATCTGATTTTCCAATTAAAAAAAAAAAAACAGTCTAATAAGGCAACTAGCTAATACATCTTGGCAAAGATAGTGAGGCACAGACAAAGCAGAGAGAGGGTGGCCAGCCTCTGCTCGTGTCTGAGGTCCTGCGCGGCCCCCCCGCTGATGCTCTTTGTGCATGGGCAAGGGGCTTTCCCCAGGGCAAGCACCCCAGAGAGAAGCCACATAACAACTGTACCTTTGAGTAGTCAGTCCAGGAAGCTTAGAGCAAACACAGCATCAGTACTGAAGAAAGGAGCAGAGACCAAAGTCCCTAAGAGAAGGCTGCCACACACTGCCATTCAGGGCCACGCTATTGTCATCCTACACAAATTCCACAACACAGTCTCAATTTTCTCTGGTAATTGGAAAATCAGAAACCAGAGTTAACTAGAATCTGGTGAAAATGTCCATTTCTACTTCAACCTTCACGGCTCATTTTACGCACCCTGTAACTGGAGAGCTGAACCTAACACTCCTGTGCTCTCCCTCCTTACAGGTGCAGTGTCACAGCCCAGATTCACTTGGGGATGAGCCCAGCTCCCTCTGCTGGTGACAGTGGGCACAGCAGCTTCCCTGTGGAACTGAGCAGCACAGGTGGAGAGGCACAAGTGTCACCCACGATTCTCCTGCCACTGCCCCACAGGCCGTGCTGAGAAGCACAGGGACCTCCCGCACGGCCCTGGCTTTCCCACGGACAGACAAGGTCAGTGAGTGACTGCAGGAAACAAGGGGAAGACAGGGTGTTCTATTTCTAGGTTACGGGGATGTTACCAGGATAAAAGGAAAACTAAAGACCTAAAGCAAACCTCTTCCGTCGGGAGGGCGATCCTCAGGCAGCCAGGGGCCAGGCTTCTGAGCCGAGGTCGGCTTCGGAGCCGCTGTGGCACCCTAACCCAGCGGCACAACTTCCTGGGGCCTCAGCTTACTCATCTGAAAAATAAGAGTTAAATTACATAAGGATTGTTCTTAAAGATTTGGGGCTTTGTTTTTGTTTTTTTAAAAAAAAAGTTTATTTTCATTGGAAAGTTAGATTTACAGAGAGAAGGAGAGACAGAAAGATCTTCCATCCACTGGTTCACTCCCCAAGTGGATGCAACAGTCAGAACTGAGCTGATCCGAAGCCAGGAGTCAGGAGATTCTTCTGGGTCTCCCATGCAGGTGCAGGGTCCCAAGGGAGCTAGAAGGGAAGTGGAGCAGCCAGGACACAAACCGGTGCCCATGATGGATCCCAGCACATTTAAGATCAGGACTTTAGCCACTAGGCTACCGCAATAAATATTTATTTGTTAAAAGTCAGCTACAGAGAAAGGGAAACTGGTGTTCCATTTGCTGGTTCACTTCCCAAGTGGCTACAGAGGCCAGGGACGCGTCAGGCCAAAGTCGGAAGTCCCATGTGGGTATCCCAGCAGGTGGCAGGGGACCTGGCCATCTTCCACTGCTTTTCCTACGACATCAGCAAGGCGTTGGACAGGAAGGGAGCAGCTGGGACACAAACTACGTCTACCACGTCACAGCACCAGCAGAGGATTCTCACTGAAAGCCTGTAAAGGAGCCACAGTTAGGTGCCTGCGGATATCACTGAAAGGCCAGTCTGCTCCAAGTTCACAGTTCAAACTCTGAGACCTGAATATGCACCTAAGAAGAGCACTAATCCCACACAGGTGCGGGTCTGCAGTGGCACCATCACAGCTTCGCCCAGGCGCCAACACTCAGACTTTAGACCCCGTAAGATTAAAAGTGGGCTCGGGGGCAGGGGGAAGCGGCTTGGCGCACTGGTTCTCTGTATGCACCCCATATGGGCTCCAATTCATATCCCGGCTGCTCCACTTCCCATCCAGCTCCCTGCCTGTGGCCTGGGAAAGCAATGGAGGACGGCTCAAGGCTCTGGGACCCTGCACCCGCGTGGGAGACCCAGAAGAAGCTCCTGGCTCCTGACTTTAGACTGGCTCAGTTTTAGCCACGGCAGCCATTTGGAGAGTGAACCAGCAGATGGAAGGGCTTCTCTATCTCTCCTTCTCTCTGTAAATCTGACTTTCCACTTTAAAAAATAAACAAATCTTTTAAAATAATTACAAATAAATGTTTCAGTCCTACACAATCAAAATATCACCGATTTAAATGCACAACGGGAACTGGTTTTCAAAAAACTACGTCCTACATTTGCACAAACAACAAGCAATGCTTCCATCATGAAGCCTGCACGCTCTCAACATTTTCAAGTCTAACATTTTGAACTTGGGTCTTCTTAAGGCAGATCTCTCCCCCTCTCCCCAAATCCACCAACACCAACTGAGTCGTGACCCCTCGAAGCCAAGAGCCAGGGCTGCCTGCAAGGAGCTCGTGGGAAGCCATGGCAGGCTCCCAGGACACAGGGGCTGCAGGCATGCTCCAGTGGAGAGGAGCCACCCTCAGCCGTGCCAGCCCCATCCTGCATGGCTTGCAAAGGAGGTAGTGGGGCTTCACACAGCTGAGGCCAATTCCCAAACCTGATGCTGAACACCTCAGTCCATCCGTGGCCAGGAAGAGACCAACACAGACGCCACCGGTCCCAGAGCTGAGCCCTGATGAACAGTGTATCTGCACTAATCCTGAGTGCAGGCTCTCAGCTGGAAGAAACCTCACTGAAAATGCCACAACAGTTACCATGGTAACCCAGTGGCATCGGACTGATAAATGGCCACCCATAATGTACTTAAAATAGTTTGGGGCCACCAATTCACAGCAAAATAAACCCGATTTCTGATGACCGGTCCTCCTCTTAGATAAACAGGGCAGGCACAGACCCCATGCTTTCCAAAATGCTCATCTGGAAGCGAAGCAAGAACTCAGGTACATCAATCTTCACGTACATCTCTCAAATCTGACTGTGTGCCATCCTGAAGAACCCATTCAGAACCGTGCCGACAATAATTCTTCAGAGTCATCAGTAAGAAGCACAGTGTGACTTCTCAGGCTCAGGAGAGTCTCTGCATGTGCTCTGCCTTGCACGGGAACACCGTTTAAAGCCTCTGTCCACTGGGAGAAAGCACAATCACCACAGACAAGTGGCCCGGCACCGTCCACCGCACACTCCCCTTCCATGCAGAACAGGCCTGTGCTGCCACACACGCCCCCGTCGCCAGCACTCTCCCGGCAGGCCTGCAGGGCTGGGAGCACGCCCTTCGCCATCCCCTCCTCAGACCACAGGCAGCCAGCAGCAACCGGGAGGAGAGGCGATCTCGCGACGATGTCTACATGAACGGGGGGCTTGCATACCGCTGCGTCGCAGTCTTTCCGAGAGACTTGGTGCAGGAAGCTGCCTTTTGATTCAAAGATCTCATGCGGATCTTTAAAACAACACAGCAAATACCTGAGCATTTCTGTTTTCTAAAGGCTACTGCTGTCTTTCGCTGCAGGACAGCCGTAACAGCGGTAGTGCGGGGGGTGTGGCAGGACCCCCATCTGTAAAGCTCCGGAGCTCGCTGAGAGGACCCCACGCTGCTGCCCAACACCAGCCCCATGGCCCAGGCCGCAGAGGGACACACCTGGGATGGACAAGGCTTCTGCCCAGAAATGCAACTGCAGCCAGCACTTGCAGCCCTCCGTGGGCAGCAGTCCCCCTGAACCCTAGCTACCTCAGCAACTTAGTAAAAACAGCACAGTAGAAACCACAGTGGTCAGAACACTGAAAATATTAAACCACTGATTCTACAACCAAACTCAGACCAACAGATTTCTGAACTAGTAGTACGCATGTTAAATGCCCTTTATCCATGCAGTGAAGACCAGGCACATGCTGAATGCAGAAGAGTGAGGCGAACAAGGCAGCACACCGTCACAGCGTTAACAGCGCACAGTACACACAACACAAGGCGTTCCCAGCTGAGCCTGCAACAAGCCGGGTGTGCCCCGCAAGGCTCTAGGAGGGGCTCTAGAAGCCCGAGGAGCCCTCAGCTGGGAGCAGCAAGGGCCAAGGGGGAGCGCGCGTTCTGCCGCTGGTCCTGGTGGGTGCTCAGCAGGTATGCAGGCCCATCCTGCCCTGCGCCACCACAGCTGCCAGGTGGTGGAGGCACACGGCAGTCAGAGGGACCAGAAATGCTGCAGGTGGCGCTGTACCAGACACTACCCTTCAGTCCTGTCTCAGGGATGCCAGGAACGCGCGACGAGGAGTGACTAGTACATAGGCAGCCTCAGGGGCACCCTGCTCTACCCAACGTCCAGGAGACCATGTGATACAGGCGAGGTGCTGGGTAAGCTCGAGGAAGAAACACAGAAAGAATGTACTGGAAGCCGGTGCTGTGGGCATCAATTCAAGCCTTCACCCTGCAACGTTGGCACAGCACGTGTCCCAGATGCTCAGCTTCCTACACAGCTTTCTGCTGACCCAGGAGCAGCAGGGCCCCGCACTCGGGGGAGACGTACAGGCAGCTCTGGGCCTCAGCCTGGCTCAGTCTGTTGAGTGAATCGGTGGGTGGAAGACCCTCCCTGACTGTAGCTCTGACTTCCAAGTAAACCAACCTTTCCACAACAATCTGCTAGATACTGCTTCAGCCTTCGCACAGACGGGTGCTGCGGCCAGGGGCTTCACATGCCTGCCTGCTCCCCACCACGCAGATCCAGAGTCCAGGCACAGAGGAGCTGCAGGAGGCGAGAGCAAGCCAGGGAGAGCAGAGCCAGCACCCTCATCCCTGGGCCCCTAACACTCACCAACACCTACCAGGAAACACAGCACTGGCCTGAGGAACCAGGAAGGAGGATCACTGGGGAAGTTTTAAGGAAATATCAGTCTTCCTACCCCAATCTGTCTCTTAAATGAGAGTCCACCAGAGCAAATGACAAGTTCTTGTGTGCAGATTCCTGACTGAGCAGGACTGTCGGCCCGTGGCGGATGAGCTCATTGCTCGCTGGGCGCTGGAGACTGAAGGACCTCCAGGGAGCTCGCATCAAATGCTGCTGGGGACTGAGCTGCCACTCTGAGCACCGCCCACTGAGTTCCAGCAGGGCTCTGCCTTTCAAAGCCAAGATGAAGGCCTGTCCTCTGTGCCCGTGTCCCCTCCCACAGGCACAGACAGCAAGGCCGGGGACAGGACTCCCCCACTGACTGCTCTCGCTCAGCCAGCTTCCTCAGGGGTCCGAACAGCAAGCAGAGGATCTTTCAGTCACACTCCTTGTCCCACAGAACAGCTGGTGTGCAGAGACAAGGCTGAGATCCTGAGCTATGGCACACGAGCAGAGAAGGCAGGCATGGCCAGCAGTAAGGGCAGGGCAGCACCACTCACCACCTGAACCCAGCTGCAGTGGCACAGCGCAGTTCATGGAGCCAGGCACCCCCACGTGTGCAGCAGAAACAAGTTCCCAAGTGCAGCAGTGCAGCACCGCCCCTCGCCACAGCCTGAGGACAGGGACCCTCCTGCTGGGGGGGAGTGCTTCTCATGGGCACTGGGTCTCCTTCAGATGCTCACACTTGCTAACCAGACTCCCGCACAGCAAACAGAGTAAGACCCAGGCTAACCGCAGAAAACATGGGAAAGATTCGCAAAAGGATAAGCCGTCTGAACCTGTCCAGGCCAAGTGCCACAAACATGAAGCAAATGTTCCTAGCTACGTGGTCCAACCAGCCGGAGCGGCAGCCAGTTTGGTGGCTCACAGGGTATCAGTTCAAAGTCTGGCTTCTCCACTTTTAATCCAGCTCCTGCTAGTGTACCTGGGAAGGCAATGGGAGAAGCAAGCTCTTACAGCCCTGAGCCCCCATGGGATATAAGGAAGAAGTTCTGAGCTCCTGGCTTCGTCTGGCCCAGCCCTGGCTGTAGTGCCCACTTGAGGGGTAGACCAGCAGACGAAAGCTATCTCTCCTTCTCTTTCTCTGCCTTCGAAATGAGTAAAAAGTAAACAAATCTTAAAAAATAGATATGATGAGAGACCTAAAGGGATCCTAATATTAACTGAACAAC